GGCTAAACCAGGGTTGCTAAACCATCAGCAGCCTCGCAGCATGGGGACTCTCAAGTAAGGATAAACTTGTACTCACTTACTCTTGCCTCATTAACTAAGGTTGAAATCGCTGAGATTTTAGCTGGAAGATAGATAGCTTTATACCATGTAAAGTTCTCATATTATGAAAACAGTGCTCTTGTATATTTTACAAGTTTGTTTTTCTTTTGGCTAGTTGCATAAAGCTTCCCTTTACCTAGAAGGGGCAACATAATTTTCTTCGAATAGTTATAGTTACGAAGAGGTTTATTTTAGTGGAGATTCTGTGAATTGGGTGACTATTTAAATTTTACAACTTCTTAAGTATTCGTAGTATAACAACACTGAACCAGGCTTCATCAGTTCACTGCCTCTTGGCTCGTGATTATCTCAGTGAAGTCTGGCACTCAAGATCAGGGGCAAATGTTTTAGTTCGGTTTTCTCATTGCCATGCAAACAGGCGGGCTGCAAGTTACAACTCGATGTGCTTACTCAACTGCAGTCATTTTGTAGTAACACCATTGTTTCTGTACCTGATAACATTTATATTGGAAAAAGAAGCTGCCAGTTATCCAAAGCTGATAGCCAAAAGAAATCCAGCACTGAAAGAACTTTTGATCACTTTATTATGCTTGGAAGATGGCTTAGACTATTTTTTTCCTTTTTCTGTGACTTCTACTCAGCATCTCTCCACATTAGTTTCCATTTGTAAATTTAAACCGTATGTAATGCAGTAAAGTGACAGTGTTCCATAGGTCCGGCAGCAACAACGCACCTATGTAATGGATTTTTAAAGCAATTCTGCTCCTGCCTTCACAACCCCATCGCCCCACCTGGAAGGTACTGTGTGAGATAAAGCACTGTTGGCTTGGCATGTCAGCCCTTTTTCCCTAATGGAAGAGTTAAGTAAAGTCACCACGTGTGATGTCTGTGACAATGAGAAGGAGCAAAGGAAAAACCACGGCATGAGCTGCCTTCACAGGTAAAAAATAATACCCTATGGTCAAATGACATAATCCTGGAATTAATGACCCATCCAGGAGAAGTTCCTGTAGCGGCTGCATTTTAGTCTGACAAATAGCATTGTGTAAAAACTCTAAATGTTTTCCTGAATAAATTTAGTCAGAACATAGTTTGTATTGCCTAGATATATTTGTTTGAGTGCCTCTTTAAAAGGTTACATCATTGGTTTAAGGACAATTCTGAGGTAATCTTGAGACACTGTAAAAGAATTTAGAAATACAAGAAAACCAGCAGTGGCTATAGGAACTTTTACAGTAGTGAGGCTGACTGTAATGCATCAAAACATTGGTCTGGATTTATAAACCCCTGTATGTTTAAATCCTACCTATATTACAGTTTGCTTCATGAAATATAGGTACTATTTTGAAAAGGTATGGGGGAAGGCCTTTTTTTTTTTTTTCCCATAACTACCACTGATAATAAAGTCAGGCTCTCTATTTATACTAAAACACAGAAATGCTTAAGTCAGTACTATATCTTCCCATGCCAGACCTACTTTACAGTATAGCTAAGACACCTTATTTAACTCTGATTTGCTTCAGTGAGGGCTCACATTTAAGTGTTCTTTACGTTTGTTTTCCCCAGTCAGGAATAGAAACCCAAATTTTTTCTCATTTAAAGCAAGGGGATTTTTGATGATAGGGTGTTTTCCAGATTTCCTCATAAAATTAATTTCTCTTCTGGAACTGAGGGAAGGGCCCATGATCTATTTACACAGTATTTTTCCTGGGGAGAATTTTGAATGACTGTGGGTAAAGATTACTTTTCTTCTTAAATGGAGAGTTAACATCAGGTTTGGCCTGTACTTAATGTTCACAATTTCTTATGTGAAAAGTCCATCTTTCCAATGTACGTACTTTCTACTTGATCTAGTTTTTGTGTCTTAACGCGCTTTCCTGTGTTACAGCCAGTTTGAAGCTGAACAGCAATTTCTTCTCCCCAAGATCACCCCACTTAGTTTTAGAGAACCTAAAGAAGCATTAAATACAGGATAGACAATGTAAGGCATCTTAACCTTGTAGCAGATGTTGTTTTATGTTTTATGTCAGTGCATCTGCACTGACATTAGACAATTTGACTAAAAAGTTTGTAAAATATTTTTAGCAATAGTAGCGTACTAGAAATAAATAAAATTTATTTAGCCAAATTGCCTAATGGAGCACATTTTACTATGCGGTGGGGGTGTGTGTTTAAGCATAAGAATTCCTAATTTGTTATTTAGGCCTTCAGAAATTATGACGCTGGCTTCTGAAGTCATGACATTTGGAACATAATAAACTACATTTGGAACATAAACTTGGGGTTGTGTTCATTTGCTTTGTGATTTAGGGATTCTTTCATATGCCAGCTTCTGGCTGTATCTTAAAGCCTAGATGGTTACCTGTTAAAATAAACTTGGAGAGAGGCTTCTAATATTATCCTCAATTTAGAGCTGAATCAGGGCTTTTTCAGTACTGTAGAAAAAATAATTTTGTCCCCTAAAGACTGAGGGAGAGAGAAGCTTTTGTAGCTGCTGTCCTCGACATTGGCTCTTCCTTGGGGGGGGTGGGCAGCACCAGCAGCTCAATGCACAGGGAAAAGGCAGAGAGGGGCTCCTTAAATTACTGGTTCCCCTCTTCTCCAGTGCAGTCAACATGGAGTATGGGTTGATGGCACCACTAACCAGTACTCTTGTCTTTCTGTTTTTGGTTTTGGCTTATGCGGTCTCAGCTGATGCATTCAGCTGAAACTTGAAGGACTGATTTCCTTGACACCACTGATTAAATCAGATTGCTGATAATGCTGAATGGCTGCTTACCTCCTATTGCAACAAGACCATTCCTTCTACTTGCTGCCAATTGCTTTAACTTAAATGGCAAGTTTATGTCTTAGACACTTTAATAGTACCTAGTACAACAGGAGTCTGCTTTACCTTTCATTTTAGTTACAGCTATATAGCATTGTGTAAGTATCCAACAGTAGAGAAAGGTGTAAAATGTTGTGCCATAACTATTCTCAAGTTTTATATCGTTTAAAGCTTTGTTTGGCAAGTAAAGCTGAGAGATTTCTTTGTATGCGAGAATCGCTGGTCGAATAGAGGGTAGAAGCCAAATCTGTCTTTCTAGGCTGCATAACCTTGGGTGTGGCTACAAGCAGAAGAAACCACTTTTGAGTCCCTGATGCTGCCAAAAAGGATATAGTTCCCAGCCATACGTTTCCGTCTTCTCCCCAACAGGTTAGCAGTACTTCCCTCCCCATGCAGTTGGCTGGGTTGGTTCCTGATCCAGCTGAATATTTTTTTAGTAGGGTTCATTCGTAGGTGGTTCATGTTGTGACTATGTGACCAGAAGGTAATAGTGCCAAGACAAAGACTGGCAGCAGGAACGTATGGAGAGCAGGCGCAAATGGGAACTGTTGCCCCTTTTGGTGACAGCTTCATCTGAAACCAACTCAGTCCTGCAACTGCATCCTTTGAACAAAACCGTCCTTGGGTGGATTTTCATGAATTAAAGGCAAGCAAGGGAAAAGATTATGATAAAACAGGGATTTTAGAAGTGTACTAAAGATAATTCCCTATTTGGAACACATCTTGATCTGGTTTTGTTTTCTGTACCGTGAGAAGGTGACATGCAGGTCCCCAAACTACACTTCTGTCTGTGCAAGGGTGACAGTATAAATGTTCAAGTGTTCATAAATCTGTGCAGATGTGCTAGTCATCAGGACCTCCATGTCTGTAGCACCTGTTCAATAAGAGAGTGGAGGAGAGGATGACAGAAAGAACTGGGTTTTTTTCATTGCCTTTGATGAAATTAGAAAAAACACAATACTACTTTGTGATGCTGTGTGCTTGGCATTGATTTCTACATAGTTCTAATCTAAGAGCTAAAGTAGCCCAGATACTTGCTTGTTTCGGCTGACTCTACAGATTAGAATCACTTTTGTAGTCCTTTTCACGGGATTTTCCAAATGGAAGTAACACAGTCTCTTGAGACAAAACATTCTTTCCAAGGTGTAAGATAAGCAAGGAAGTTTTGATTCAAGTGGTCACAGGTCTCTGATTCATAGTGGGGTTGGGTTTGGGGATTCCCCCCAGCAGCCTGTGGGTGATGTATGGCTGTTGACCTCATTGACTCCTTTAGCTTTAGGCACTGTAAACCAGCAATTTAGGTGACTTTTAAAAAAGATAAATTTTCCAGTGTTACATCCGTTTTCTCTCATTAGGCTGGCAAAGTTTCAATTGTTGTTCCAGTGGAGGTACATAAGAACATTACATGTTTTAAAGACTTTTAACATTCACACTCGCAGAAATACCACTCATGAAGTTGCTTCTACTAGCCTTCATCACTGAACAGCTAACATACAGACAGCTGTGCCAATTATCCCTTGTTTAACTTGCTCTTCTGTGTGGAAAACTCTCTATCATTTTTGTTACTGAATACCCTTTCACTTTATTTGTAGCTTGTAAGCATGCTAGTTCCCATGCTTTGTACACTGCAGTGACATTCAGAATAGAGATGTTAACGCTTGGTACGATAGTCAAAGAAATCCTGTCCTGATTCTAGCCAAAGGCAAAACTCACAGAACTTAATCAGGGCAATATTTCTTCTAGAAGCATTAGTCCTAACTTGGCTTTGGCACTGGTATTCTTGAGCAGTGCTGTAATCTGACTTGAAAGTCAAGTATCTCGAGCATGAGGTATTTACTGTGTCACTGTTAAAGATGCTATAAACTTTGAGCTCTTACAAGAAATCAGTATTGTGCTAATACTTCCTGTGTAAAAACAGCTGCATTTGGCCCTAGATGGAAAAATGAACAATAAATCCTTCTTAAAGCCTAGTTCCCTGAAAGGATGATATTCTCTACTGTTACTGTTTCCCGCTTTTCTCTGTATGTGTCAAACCCAATGACTTAGGGTTTTTTCATTTTGTTCTTACTGTAGTTTCCTGTGAAATCATGCTGTTTTTTCATTTTCTCTGTAGGCAACAGAGATTTCGCTCCTGATGATCCGCTGGAATTTAAGTCTCATCAGTGGTTTGGAGCTTCTGTGAGATCCAGAAATGATAAAATTCTGGTAGGTTTTTGATGCCCTTCAAATGCCTCAGTAATGGGATATTGTAGTGGGAAAAAATGTGAAAAGATCTGGATAACTCAGAATTTAAACAAAATCCCACTAGTCAGCATGATTTGTCTTTTTCAGAATTTATTGGCTAGCTCTTTCCTAACTCTTTATAAACAAAGTTTGTAGCATTTTTGTCTGGTTTTGAGGAAAGTAGTAGAATTAGTTTGCTGAAAATAGAACGTGTTACAAATTCTTGATGAACTCTTTACAACTGTTGCTTTCAGAAAATACTATTTCTAAAGTTTTGGTGATAAATCAGCTATTTCTAAATCTGAAAACTGGTGATACTTCTGCCCCAGCGCTGATAGTATAAATCTCCTCTAATAACAACACAAATTTTTTGGGGGGTACTATTCTGTAGAAAATTGGAATTCCATTGTATTATTCTATATCCCGCAGCATTTTGAAGAGGAGTTTGTTTCCTCACTGCCATGTGTTCTTCCTTAGGCCTGTGCCCCATTGTACCACTGGAGAACGGAAACCAAACAGGAGAGAGAACCTGTAGGAACTTGTTACCTGCTTGCCGGATCTAAATCCGTAGAATATGCACCCTGCAGGTCAAGTAAGTGTAAAGCACTTTTCTGTTTGAAATTTTTCTTGTGTTCTATTTTGTGTACATTTGAAGTGAGATGTTTAACAGACATTTCCCCCTTCTGTGTATGGCCTCATAGCAATTAGAAAAAAAACTAAGCTAGATCCAGACATCTCAATTCTCCTCCAGTTGATGTTGAGGATGCAGACCTTGCTTTCTTTACTGTAGGCCAGAGGAAAAACTTAGATCCCAAGTATCATTGGAATTGAGGACTTCAGTTTTTGAGTGGACCACTTCTGTAGTAATCACTCAAGCAAAATTATATAGCAAGTGCTTTTTCAAAGACCAACTCTAGAATTTTCTCAAGCCTAATTATTGTTATTCAAGTAATTTAAAGAGAAAGCTCATTTTAGAAGACAAGGTTTTGCACAAGTATGTTCTGATTTCCATGTGTGCATACATATGTAGTTGTGCATTGTTTTAATTATATTGTTGAACATTTTACATCTTATTTTCCAAACGCTTTGCATCCATATCGTGTAGTTGAATTGGCAGATTATTCAGATGCTTATAATGTTTTTTTAAAATACAGAAGTAAAAAAGTTGAATGTTCAAGCTAGGATTATTTTTTTTTTTTTT